GGGGATTTGAGGCCCAAAAAGCCGGACATGTCCGGGAAAAGCCGGACGTATGGTAACCCTAGGCAGTGGTCTCCAAACTTTTTTGATCGCGCACCCTATCAGTAAAAAAATTTTGAGCACGCACCTCCTGCTGCGCTGGCTCGACCATTTTTGCTGAAGCAAAAAAAAAGCCGCTCGGACTCCCGCCCGAACTGACGAAGCAAAGAAAAAAAAAGCGCTCCTCCTGCCGCACGCCCCCAAGGATCCTCTTGTGCACCCCACTTTGGAGACCACTGCTCTAGGGAATTGGTTTCAAAGTGGAGTGGTTTTTTTTTTTTTTAATCTCAGTTTAGGTCTTTTTCACACATCTGGCTCTTGGAAGGCTGAGTTAGAGCAAAGACCTGCCCTTTAACTCCAGACACAATCTCGCTTCTTCATATTATTCCCAGGTCTCACTTGGAGAATAGTCCGGCCATTCATTTTCTTCCGTGATGAGGATTATGCGGTAAACTGCATTTGAGCCGCTGTGTCTGTAATAACATGTGGCTCTTACATCGTCCTTTCCTTGAGCTCGAAGCACTTCTCAACAGCGACTATTAGGTCTTTACAATTCCTCCTCTCCTGCAGAAGGGGACCCCCCCTCCCCCGCACTCAGCGTTATTCAGTAGATTTTATCCTTCAGGACAAGAAGCCCTATTCAGACCAGGTGACATTTTAAGACTCCAGGGTTGTGTTCTCAGTTTATTTCTGGATTGAGTCTTACCTATGAGCTTCCTAATCATGATATCCTGCTTTCATTAATGCTTTTACAGTTAGGCACCTGCCTCTCATTGGCTTCGCAAAGGTGGGTCCAAAGAGGTCTGTCAATGTGGCAAGGGAGCCCTTTCAATTGGAATGGTTGACTGGGGCTCAACAATATCCTCACTCTTATCTTTGATATTGAGTCCTGATTTAGAATCAACATGTATAAAAGCTTTTTCCTACCAATATGAAAAGGTATGAGCCCCTCCCCCCCCTTTTAAACCAGCTTTCTGTTCTCTGGGAAAATATAATTGTGCTTTGAACTCTGTCACCTTGTTTTTTTTTTTTGTTTGAGCCTATCCCCTGCTGCTGTTGACTTCTGTAGGCTGTGTCCACGCTGTATGCCTGCACAGTGTATTTTGAACATGTGAACTGTATACATTTACTTCCCCAAAGCATCTCAGTGAGTTTCTTATGTGTCATTTGCAATACAACTTGTCTTTGGTTGGCAATGTGATGTTTTGTTCAGGATACCCACAACTGTAAGCCACACTCCTCTGCCTCAGCAAGTGAGGACTTGGCTTACTCCTGAGGGAATTCTGTGCCAAAAAAATGAAAAAATCTTGCTAAAAAAATTGATTATGCACACAATACTCTAAAATTCTGCACATTTTATTTGTCAATAAATAAATGTGGCTCCAGCATGTCAGGGGGGGAGCATAGGCCACTGGCTCCATTGATGTGGGAGATCACCCTGAAGCCCCCACCTCCCCTGGTACAGGGACTCGGGAGTGAGGCTTCACCTGACCCTGACACAGTGCAAGGGACGGACCTGCCCCAGAAACACCCCAGGGCCCTGCCCCTCTGCATCAGGCATACCAGCTGTAGGTGGGCAGACTCAGCCCAGCAGGATCCACGTGCGGAAGGGCTTAGTCTGGGGGATCCATCGGTGGGGTGAGAGGTTTCTGTGTGGGGCAATCTGGGTGTGGCTTGCTCAGTGGGAGATCTGGATGCACAGGGGCTTGTTGTGGGGTTCCAAGTGCAGGGGCAATGAGACGCTGTAGGGGATCCAGGTGAAGGTGGTTGGGGCTCAGCAGGGGTGTGTGGGGAGATGGGGCTTGGTGGGGGGGATGTTGGGGGAGTGGGGCTTGATGGGGTGGGGGTCTAGGTGCAGCTGGTTGGAGCTCAGTGGAGTGGGGGTTGGGTCCAGGTGTAGGGGGCTAGGGCTTGTCAGGCTGTGAGTTCGATGGGCCTGCTTAACAGGGGAGCCCCAGCTGCTGCTGAGGGGATGCTGCATGCCGGGCTCCTGCTTCCCCTCGGGATTCCCCTATCCCTCTCATCTGCCTTTCCCAGCCCCATCCCTCACTCCAGGCGTGCTGGCACAAGTTGTATAGTGGGGTGCTGAGAGTCATTGAACCAAACTGTAAACCCTGTATATAATGGAAACCACTTCAAGCCAGGGGGTATGGCAGCACCCCACACCCCTACTTCCAGCACCTATGCCTCACTCCCACATTCTCCTCCCCCTGCCCTATTCCACCCCATTCCTTCCCCACTGCCTCTTCCCCCTCATCCCCCCTTCCCTCATTCCCCCCCACACACCCCACTGTGGGCACTCACTGTTGCACAGAAAACAGGAAGGTTCCCAGCACGCACAAGGGGAGCACGACTGGCACTAGGACCCAGGAGGTGGCGTTCAGCTGCAGAGTTTACACACAACAGATACATACTTCACACAATCATATTCATGACCTTTCATTGGTTTACATATATCAGTGGTGAGCTGCCAAAATATTAACAACCGATTCCCTCCTCCTCACCCCATGAGGGGGTCATGCCACCCCCCCCAGGACTCCTGCCCCATCCAACCTCCACGTTCCTTGACAGCTCCCCGCCCCAGGACCCTTCCCCCATCCACCCCCCTTCCCTGTCCCCTGACTGCCCCCTGCCGCCCCATCCAACCCCTCCTCTCATTCCTGATGGCCCTCCAGGACTCCTGCCCCATCCAACCACCCCTTCTATCTGTCCCCTGACTGCCCCCCACTGTCCCATCCAACCCCTGCTCCTTTCTGACTACCCCGCTGGGACCCTTGCCCCCATTCAATCCCCCTTTCCCTGCCCTCTGACCACCCCGACACTAATGCACCCCCCCCAACTCCCCTGCCCTCTATCCAACACCCGCTTCCTGCCCCCTTACCGCGCTGCCTGGAGATGGGGGCCGAGCCGGGGCCGGGCTGGGCTGCTCAGCCGGGGCCGGGGTTAGGACCGGAGCCGCTCGGCTGGAGCCGGTATGCCCGGCCGGCCGGGCCCAGGGGCCAGAGTCAGGGCGCCTGGCTGGCCAGGGTTGGGGCTGGGCCCGGGGGCCGGGCTGGACACGCGCCACCCGGGGTCGGGGGCCAGGCCAGAGCTGTGCGGCGCCTGGAGCCCTCCTCGCACCCCCGCCCTCCTGCCCCAGCTCACCTGCGGGAAACCGCTGCTTCCTTCTCAGCCCTCCCAGGCTTCCCGCATGAACAGCTGATTCGCGGGCAGCCGGGGAGGGGGAGGAGAAGCCGGGGGAGCGTTCAGGGGAGGAGGCAGAGGCGGAGTGAGGTGGGCTGGGGGAAGGGCAGGGAGCTGTTGGAGCTTTTGTTAAATTTAAAAGCCCTTTTTGAACCGGTTGTCCCTCACGGGACAACCGGTTCTAAAAGGGCTTCTAAATTTAACAACCGGTTCCCGTGAACCGGTGGGAACCGGCTCAAGCTCACCTCTGCATATGATACATTACAAGATACCTTTTGGATACATATTACAACAACAGTGTGGTGTTGGAGGTAGTGAATGTCAGGCCATATATCAGTTTCAGTAGAGTGGGCCCTATGCCAGTGGGCATTGAGGGGTTCTTTGGGTCACAGGCAGGTAGGAGGGCAAACAAATCTCTGTCTTGCTGTTTTCACTGTTTAGAACACTTTGTTGTTTTGGGGCATGTAAGTGTCAACAGATGTGAATGTGGTGAGGTTGAAAGGCATTGCTGTCAAAATATGACACTTTAGTATTATTCAATTTTATTATCTTTCATTTGGAACCTATAGCCTAAATGAACTGACCTACTGCCTTTTGAGTATGTACAAGAAAGGAAGAAGAGTACAGACAATAGTGTCAGTTCAGGTACATATCCTGCACTGTACAAGATATTCACCAGTGTGTGAGTCACTGTTGTTTTATGTGAGTCATGTAGGCTTCAGTTAGCTTCTTTGTGTGGCAGGGTCTTGGAATATTTCTGACCAACAGTGTTCTTTTAATTCAGGATAGATGAAATAAGCTCCTTTTGTAGTTTTTAAATTAAAAAAAAAAGTTGGCAGTATTCAAAGATAAATAACTGAAGTAAGCCTGTTGTCAAGATAGCGTGTAGTTTTACTAGACTAACACAGGTACCTTGACCTGTTCAGAGGAGACTTGTGGGAGGTACACAAAGGGCCAAGTGCCTCTCCAGCAGCCTGCCCAGATGGGGAGATGAAGGGGCGGGGCCAGAGCCTCTTCCAGCCATGCTGCCTGGGTTGCTGCCTGGTGCAGTTCAGTTGCTGACTGGGAGAGCGCCTGGATGTGGCAGGCTGCCCCCCGCGCTTGCTCAGCTTCTGGGGACAGTGGCTGAGCAAGCTAGAGCACCCCCACGCCTCCAGCATGCTCAGAGTTGTCTCCTATCCCCATAAGTCGAGCCTAGGCAGGGAGCAGGCTGCTGCTGCCACCGCTCCCTGCCCAGGCTCAGGTTCTGGGGACAAGAGCCGACTCTAAGAGGGCGGGGCGGGGAGGCTCTGACTTGCTCAGCCTCTGTCCTGGAAGCCAAATCCCAGTCACAGCCAGGCACTCTACCAGGCAGCTGCTGTGCTGCACCAGGCATGGGCATCTAGGAGTCGCTCCAGGGCCTGGCTGCTAGGGAGAGCAGCCAGAGGGAGCCAGCGCAGCTTGGGAAAGTTGTGGGGAGGCACCAGTCATCTATCAGTTTTGCTCTTGTGCTGCTTGGGAAAGTTATGAGCAGCAGTGTAAACACTGGAGCTCTTCATGGAGAAGGAAGAGGATGGTGGCCCAAAAATCATTGGTTGGAGGAGGGGTAGAATAGAGCTCTGCTCCCACAGTAGTCAGACTTTCATGTGGAGGGAGAAAGCTCTTCTTCCATTCTCACAGCCAGAGGTAGGGAAGCTTCATATTGTAGAACTTCAGAGTTACGAACACCTCGGGAATGGAGGTTGCTTATAACTCTGAAATGTTTGTAACTCTGAACAAAACGTTATGGTTCTTCTTTCAAAAGTTTACAACTGAATATAGACTTAATACTGTTTTCAACTTTACTACTCAGAATAAAAATGTTGTTTTAACCATCTTAATTTAAATTAAACAAGCACAAACAGTTTCCTTACTGTGTCAAATATTTGTTTAAACTTTCCCTTTACTATTTTAGTAGTTTACATTTAACACAGTATTGTACTGTTTTTTGGGGGGGGCGGGGGGGTTGCCTCTGCTGCTGTCTGATTGTGTAATTCCGGTTCATAGACTGTCAGTGTTGGAAGGGACCTCAGGAGATCATCTAGTCCAACCCCTGCTTAAAGCAGGACCAATGCCCAGGCAGATTTTTGCCCCAAATCGCCCCCTCAAGGATTGAACTCACAACCCTGGATTTAGCAGGCCAATGCTCAAACCACTGAGCTATCCTTCCCCCCAAATTATGTGTGTGGTTGACCGGTCGGTTCGTAACTTTGGTGTTCTTAACTCTACTGTACTTAGTCACTTACTAGGCTATATGCAGAGAAGAAAAATGGATCCTATGCGCAGGGCCAGGGAAAGCATTCTGGTAAAAATCCTGGTACCTGGGGAGGTGGGATTCTCACCAAGGCATCACCTATGGACTTCACTGGCCCTCCCTCCCTTAAACTTTTGCATCTGTTTAGTCCTATTGCCAGTAATGGTTCAAGCCCCGTCCGTTGCCATCAGTTGAAAAACAAATCAGGTTGACATAAATGTCCACAAGTTGAGGACTATGTACAGCTGGTATTTTGTTTATATGGATTTATATTTCAGAGGCTTTTTTTCTGGATTTAATTTGATATTTTAAACTATTCACTTCTCACCAGATAGGTCTAATGCTGTGGTTCTAAATCTATTTATCATGTGGGCTGCATATGCGGCCTAAAATGTGTTACCTGGGCTGCAGGTTCAGAACCACAGCGTCCCTCCCAAATCCCCCAGGGTGCTTATGCCCAGCACCCTAGCCCCCACCGAGAGACCCATCCATAGAGTGGGGCCAGGAGCGGACCCCGCTGCAGGGCAGGGCGGCCCCAGACCCCAGCGCGCAGGCAGGGCAGCCTGGCAACCCGGACCCCGCCACACAGGCCCTGCGGCCTTTATCACGCAGCTAGGCCGCAGCTGTGTGCTAATTGGGCCACATACGACCCGCGGGTTGAGAACCACTGGTCTAGTGAGATCAGTTGAGATCAGAGGAGTCTCTGATGAGCGAAAGTCTTGCCCCACAGATGGTTTCTGTATTTGTGGAGCTATGGAGAGATATGCTGATGATGATCCATGTTTACATTCTTGTATTCTGAGGTCCTAGAATACAAATATGCTTTCCACCTTGCTAAAGCTTAAATACTGATGTGTTTTCCATTCAGAATTATTCAAAAAGCCTGTCAGCCAGTTACCCTTTAGTTCCAGTACATGAGCTAATGTAGAAGAATATCTATATTTCAGCATAAATGTGGTTGCATTGTGGCATCAGGCAAAGGAGTTGGCTATCTCTTTGAGGATGTGAAAAGTAAAAGTTTAGAAGGAACAGACACTTAGCCTCTTGAAATGCAATTTCACCTCATTCAGAGGGAGGGGAAGCCAATCAGGATTAACGTACAGGATTTGGATTTGCAGTCTGAATCCATATAAAGTATTTATGTGGCGATATTACAATCAAATATCACGAGAGTTCTTACATTTTTTTTTTAAATCCAATCTTTAACATACATGATATACCCTATGTAATTTCTGTTGAAAAGGAAAAAAAGTAAATTTGTACCCTTGTTTTGTGTGTAAAACTTATTTCTCACAGGTTTCAAATTCAGACAGATTTGTTTGAAGAGGTCTTCATAATTATTAATATTAAATTTGATATAAAAATGTAGTATTTTAATACACCAAAATGCAATGAGAGGTTTATTTCTTCTCAGTAGTTCCTTTTCCCATCATTTATGGGAATTGAGGCATGGTACCGGCACTGTACCACTAACAGTTATCTCTTGGTTCAGCCACTCTAATTTATAGGACTACTTAAAGCAGTAAAGGATTACTGTCACACATTACCTGCAATAAAACTGTGGAGAGCAATATCCTGTCTTATCAGTAGAGCACCAGACATGCAGTGCTTTTCCTTTGTACTCAGTCTGTGCTTGGTGTAGATCCTGTTTCCCAGGGGGAAGAGAGGAAAATGCAGTTGTCATTTTGATACAGGCTTCAATATACCAAAGCATGTGAATCATAAATTGAGAGTCTGCTGTAATTGATCATGTGGGTGTGCAGGGGAAAATGCAATAATGATGAGAAATCAGATCTGAGCATATGGAAAAAACTCTTTCAAAGACGACATTTACTTTAATACATGTTCAGTTAGCATAGTAACTATAGTCACAAGAGTTTTTATTGGAGTTTCATAGCAGCAACAAAATGGTGACACAGAAGATTAATGTACAAAGGATTAATTTACAGTATATATAGAAGGTACAAGCCAGTTGTCATTTTTACTTGCCAGTTCCAGTAATCTTCCTTCTCCTGTCTAAAGGTGTTTTAGAATTTTGACATGCACATAAAAAAAAATCTTAAAAGAGAATAGTTTGTGTAAAGTAACTTTTTTTTTAATTAAAGGAGAAAACATAATATATGCTGTAAATCCCCCCCCCCCAAATAAAAACCCTAAAGTATATTTGGGGAGGGAATCACATTTCATATTAGGGATTGCTTTGATCGCTTTAATATATATTCTCATTCTAAGGAAAAACATACTGATATTTTTGCTGTTTATTAGAAATACTTAGTTTTTGAATCATGGAGTAAAGAATAATAATAAAGTACAGAGCCAAATGCTGAAGTCATTATTCCTGGAAAACAGCTGTTGACTTCAGTAGATTTTTGACCTGTGTATAAGGGCTTTAGGATTTGGCCTACAGTGGCTAGAGCAGAAGTTACTTGTGTTGGGAAAGCTTACTTTTTTTAAAGACAAGAAACAAATTGCACTTGTTCGTATGTTTATGCTGTTGGCGTCACCAAGTGTCCACCCATTTCTCTTATGCAAACTCCAAAAATACGTCAAAATATACACCAATTTTCTGTGGGAAATAAGGGATCATGTGACAAATAGCAGCATTCCTTTTTGTGAGAATCATTGCTCTGTTGCTTTGTTTCCAAGTAAAGTCAATGAAAACCCACATGAATATGGTGTGTTGCTGTCACCAACTGGTCCTTCAAACCTCAATCCTGCAAGGACCTTTGTGTAGGCATAGGGTTCAATCTGCATGGGACTCCCTCTAGTCTAGGTCCCTTGGTCTGCATATTTAATGTAAAAACCAGGTATCTATTTTTCTATAAATGGTCAGGCTTCCATTTCTTTGTATGAAGTAAACCTTCCTTTCCTTTTCCTTTCTGCAGTATAGTTAAAAATGTGCTGTGATATAAAGAGGAGGTTTTTGCTGCTTTATGCAACACAGAAGGGACAGGCAAAAGCCATAGCTGAGGAAATATGCCAGCAGGCAGATGCACATGGATTTGAAGCTGATATTCACTGTATAACTGAGTCAGACAAGGTGAGATACTCTATGCTGGTTTGGAAAATTTTAAGAAATGTATTTTTCTCTGTGTCGTCCTATAGTAGCCACTAACGGTAATGGAAGCTATGTGCATGCACAGAGAAGAGAGTATATCATGTACATTTACATTTTCATAACATCCATGTCAGTGGTTCGGATCAGTACAAACTGAGGCTTCCACTAGCCCTGTAGCAAATGTATCCTTTTTATGGTTTATGGTTTGCTTAGAGTAGTAAATGAGTATATGAATATTCTTGTGTGTGTGTCTCTACACTGGCATTAAAGTGGCCTGTTGAAATGATTCTTAGACATGCAGAAATGAGTTGCTGGAAATAATTCAGTACTTAGTGAGTGGGAGGCCATATCATTTAAAAAAAAAAGCACCACAATTTTTTTGGTCTTATTTATTGTTTGTATTATGACAATGCCCAAAGAACAGACTGGGTTCTATATATACATAGATCCCAATACAGCAGTCAGATTCATGCAGGTTTATCTCTGTGGTTTGTAGAATCCCACTAAGTCATCCAGTCTAGCGTTGTTGACATAAGCGAATTTACAGTTGCTAAGGATGACTCATGATATCAGTGCTACCAAGGAAGTAAAGACCTGATAGAGAGGGGTTGTGATTTAGATTCAGAATGATGAAAATTCTTTGGGGGTTTTGTTTTGTTTGTCTGTTACACCTATCTAGTAAAGAGAGTTCTAAACCAACGTGTTTTTAAGAACTCAGGAATCCCACACTCTCTGGCCTTGGCTGCACTTGCGAGTTACAGCGCTGTAAAGCCGCCCCCAGCGCTGTAACTCACTCCCCGTCCACACTGGCAAGGCATTTGCAGCGCTGTATCTCCGTGGCTGCAGTGCTGCATGTACTCCACCTCCCTGAGAGGAATAGCGAGTATTGCGCCGCCGCTGCAGTGCTGCGGCACCAGTGTGGCTGCCCAATGCACTGTGACTGGCCTCCAGAAGTATTCGGCAGTATCCCACAATGCCTGTTCTAGCCACTCTGGTCATCAGTTCAAACTCTACTGCCCTGGCCTCAGGTAACCAACCATGTGACCCTCCCTTAAAATTCCCCGGGAATTTTAAAAATCCCCTTCCTGTTTGCTCAGCCAGGCGTGGTGTGGAGTGCTATCAGCGAATCTTTCCAGGTGACCATGCCTCCATGTGCCAAGTGAGCCCCAGCATGGAGCAATGGCGAGTTGCTGGACCTCATCAGTGTTTGGGGGGAGGAAGCTGTCCAGTCCCAGCTGCGCTCCAGCCGTAGGAATTACGATACCTTCGGGAAGGTATCAAAGGACATGATGGAAAGGGGCCGTGACCGGAACACCCTGCAGTGCAGGATTAAAGTGAAGGAGCTACGGAGTGCCTACTGCAAAGCCTGCGACGCAAACGGCCGCTCGGGTGCTCTCCCTGCAACCTGCTGATTCTACAAAGAGCTGGATGCAATACTTGGGGTTAACCCCACCTCCACTCCGAGCACCACCATGGACACTTCAGAGCCGGTGCGGGGGAGGGGAGGAGGAGGAGGAGGAAAACAGGAGTGAGGGTGATGGGCCGGATGGAGACAGCCCGGAATCCCTGGAGGCATGCAGCCAGGAGCTCTTCTTGAGCCAGGAGGAAGGTAGCCAGTCGCAGTGGCTGGTACTTGGTGGAGGATAAACAGAAGAGCAGGTTCCCGGTAAGCGGGTTTTTTATCGGGAAGCAATTTTTTCGGTGTGGGCTCTTTGGGAGAGGAGGGTTAGGCATGCATGCCTAGATGCGAAATAGTGCATTGATGTGGTTTATCACATCGCGGTAATCGGCCTCGGTAATCTCTTTGAATGTCTCATCGAGAAAGTGTGCAATGGGCTTGCACAGGTTTATCGGGAGTGGTCCTTGAACCAGCCAGGCAAATGTGTCCGCACTACTGTGCCGCGAGGGGCGGGGGGACCATTGCTGCACACAGGCAAGCTGCCTAGGGGCCAGGGCGGAAGCCGCATTGCAGTAGAAGACCCTCCGCAGGCCACCCTCAGCAGCGAGATATTGTTCAGGACGAACTCCTGTGGAAAATGGTGGGACAGTGTTCAGTGTAGGTGCCACCTGCAGCTGTTGGCTCTCCCCAAGGCACAGAAACCCAGAGGACAGTACAGCCCTGAAACAATCAGTCCCCCTTACTCACCATTTTGAGGCTCCCGTGGGTTATGTGTGCTCTGTTTGGGACGGGAAAATTATGCTATTGTGTAGACCCTGTGTGTGCCCTCCTTAAGTGTGGGGGAAATCATTACTCTGTCTGGTATAAACAATGTTGCCTCTGTTAAATGTTGCATTTTGCCTATACAGCTGCAACCACCTTGAGACCTCAGCCGACCCTCTTATTGCCTGCTCAGAGACTGCAAAGACTCAGGAAGAGACCGTGAAAAACCAAAGAAGACATGCTGCAAGAAGTGATGCGGCAATCTATAAAGAGAATGAAAAAGCACAGAACTGGAGGGAGAGAGAAAGCAGGATCCGCCAGGAAAACGCAGCACACCGGCGGCAAAGCACGGAGCACCGGCAGCAAAGCACGGATTGGCTCATAAGCATCCTGGAGCGCCAAGCAGATGCTATCCAGGAGCTTGTAGCCATGCAGAAGGAGCAGTACCGCAAACGTCCCCCCCGCCCTCCCCTACAGCCCTTGTCCCCAAACTCTTTCCCTTGTGCTCCACTGTTACCTCCAACCCACTTTCCCCAACTTCTGGGTTCTTCACACCACCAGCTGCCTCCAACACCAATATCTTCACCATCCAGCCCTGAAAACCACAACCCTTACCCTCTGCACTCAACCCCCATCACCATGCAGTATAGCTATCCTGAAGTGCAACAGTCACTCTGGGGAAAAAGTCCTGGCCTGCAGCTTTCTGAACAGCCAAGTGTTCCGAAAGATGCGTGCGTCATGCACCTTTCCTGGCCAGCCTGTGTTAATGTCAATGAAACGCCCACGGTGATCCACAAGTGCCTGGAGAACCATAGAGAAATATCCCTTCTGATTAACGTACTCGGATGCTAGGTGGGGTAGTGCCAGAATAGTAATGTGCGTCCTATCTATCTCCCCTCCACAGTTAGGGTGCCCCATTTGTGCAAAGCCATCCACTATGTCCTGCACGTTAGCCAGAGTCACGGTTCTTCTGAGTAGGATGCGATTAATGGCTTTGCAAACTTGCATCAACAAGATTCCAACGGTCGACTTTCCCACTCCAAACTGGTTTGTGACCGACCGGTAGCTATCTGGAGTTGCCAGCTTCCAGATTGCAATAGCCATCCGCTTCTCCACTGGCAGGGCAGCTCTCAATCTCGTGTGCTTGCGCAACAGGGTGGGGGTGAGCTCCTCACACAGTCCCATGAAAGTGGCTTTTCTCATCCAAAAGTTCTGCAGCCACTGCTCATCATCCCAGACTTCCATGACGATGTGATCCCACCACTCAGTGCTTGTTTCCCGAGCCCAAAAGCGGCGTTCCACAGTGCTGAGCATATCCATGAATGCCACAAGCAATTTCGTGTTGTACGTGTTACGCGGCTCAATCACATCGTCGGACTACTCACTCTCACTGTCACTTTGGATCTTAAGGAATAATTCGACAGCCAAACGTGACGTGCTGGCGAGACTCATCAGCATACGCCTCAGCAGTTCGGACTCCATTTCCCGCAGACCGATCGTGCTGCACAGAAACCGTTGAAAGATGGCGCCAAAGGTGGACGGAAACAAAGGGATTTCTGGGATGCGAGGCGATGCATCACGGGGCATTGGGACAGGACCCAGAATCCCCCACACCCACGCCCCCTTCCCACAACCCACGGCGCCAGAATGGGAAGAGGTGCTCTGTGGGATAACTGCCCATAATGCACCTCTCCCAATGGCGCTGCAATTGCCGAAAATGTGGCCACAACAGTGCGCTGGCAGCTGTCAATGTGGACAGACTGCAGCGCTTTCTCTACTCAGCTGTACGAAGACAGGTTTATCTCACAGCGCTGTACAGCTGCAAGTGTAGCCAAGGCCTCTGTTAAAGGTTGTGAAAGGACCAAATCCACACATCTGGGTCCTCCAACAAGAACAGAAAAGATAAAACTTGACATTCCTGATATTCCTGGGGAAATAAATAAGCAGAAAACAAAACCAAATCAGGGATGGGTAATATTTTCATGTAATCAAAGGAGCAACAGAGAACACAAAGGTAAACTATTTACTGTTCCCATGTCATCTTTATGGGAAGTACTACTTGTTTGGTAGCAGAGCTTCTTATTGTGTAATTTTACTTATAGTAGCACATCTTGTGTATTTTATACACATTAACAATTCTTATGGAAAGAACATAAAGCAAACCCAAAAGGTGAGGGCAGGAGCGGCGCCAGGGTTTTTGCCGCCCTAGGCAGCAGCGCTCCTTCTCTGAGGATTCAGCGGCGGGGTCCCTTCTGCTTCGTTTCTTCGGGGCACTTTGGCGGCGGGTCCTGGAGTGAGTGAAGGACCCGCCGCTGAATTTCCGCCGAAGACCCGGAGCGGAAGGACCCCCCGCCGCCGAATTTCCACCGAGGGCAGCAAAATGCCGCCCCCCAAATCCTGCCGCCTAGGGTCGCCTAGTGGAAGCGCCGGCCCTAGGTGAGGGAGCCTTCAATCTACTTCAGAGCAGTTGTCTCTTCCTTCCACACTCTCTACAGATTGATGTGGGGGCATCTCCAGGCCTGTTTGGCTGGAGGTGGCCTGCTACTGGAACAAGTCTATTTTGTCAGACATGGCAAGTTGGCACCGAGCTTTGATTTACTGATGAGATGAAATGTTGCGCATATGTGAGAATTTTTTTATTAAAGTTTATTATTTGTTTTGATAAGAGAAGACCACAATTTGTATAGCTTTGCAGATCTCTTCAACTACAAGTTCCCTCACTCCTTGTCCAGGGAGCAGCTGTACCTGAATGGAGAGGTCTTCTATTTGGCTAGGACAAATCAGGGAAAAATATACCAGGGCTAGGTGTAGGTTTTGTGGGGCTTGTGTGACATCTGACATGGGAGGCCTGAGGGGCAAAATTCCCTTGTGTCAGGTCAGGGACTAACAGCTAGCTGAGTTAAACTAATTTTTCCAATAGGGAAAGGGGCATGACAATTTTCTGATGTCTCCTATACGCACTTCTATGCAGGTGTGCATGCACACACTCACCCATTAAGGCAAGGAGGGAGCATGCCCCATGCCACCTCTTCTCTTTTTTACCTCCTGACTTTGCACTTAGAGGGTAGCACAGAAGCCAGCATCTGAGAGTGCAGGAGAGAAGGTCTTGACCTAGCATTGGGCACTCAGGAGTGACCTCAGCTGGAAGGTAGCATATGGCCTAGCAACAACAGCTAAGCTGCCAGGGCATCTCTGATGCTTTTATGGTATATCTGCACCGGGGGGAAAAAAACAACAACCAACAACTCTCAGTGCCAGGGTCTACATGTTCAGGCTTGCGGGGATCACACTAGGGCAATAAAATAGATGTGTAGCCATTCCAACTCAGGCTGGAGCTCAGGCTCTGAAGCGTTTGGTAGGAGGGTGGGGTTCAGAGTTCAAAGCCTGAGCTCTAGCCTTTCTTTTTCATGTGAACTACTAGCTGTTCATGTGATTCCAAACTTCCCTACAGGGATATTTTAGAGGGTGTAGATGTCTGATTAATCAAACTGACAGTTGATATGCTTTAGCCACTAAGCTCACAGTGCAGCTGTAACCACTTTTTTTCTTGCTATGGACAACTTGACTCATCAAACAAGCTGAATTGTTTTCACCTGAGAATTTCAGATGCATGTAAATAAATGCCAGAGTTGATTAAGTAGTTCTTGTGAAAGCAACATATAACACTTAACAAACAATCAGTTAAAAGGGAGATTTACAAAAGATGCATTTTCCAAATGATAGGTGGGCAGATACTGTAAAGGGCCATATTTTCAAAACACCTTATCTTTGGATATGCAAGTAATGATGTGCTCAGAATTTTGCCTTTAATTGATTGGCCATACAAATGGTGTGAGATTAAAGACTTGTTAAAAATTTGACCCTAAATGTGCAGATGCCATTATTTCACAGGATTAGTATGGATACCCTTGTATTGCTTTCACACTTTACCCCTCTCATCCTGTTTCATAAGATTTTTGTAATGTTACTGAGTGCAGGTTTTTTTTACCATACTGCAAGACAGTGCTGTTTACATCTTGTAAAAAAGAAATGAACACTGATCTGTTGTGTAACACGACTGGCATTCTTTAGGTTAATTATACATACATCATAGATTTAAGAGATGACCAGGCAGTTCAGACTTCTGACATGAGTTCATGCAATCTGATAGTCTTTTTTTCTTTTCTTCTTCTATACAAACTGTTTCACATGTTAGAATAGGTTAATAAACAAGAGGTTACAAGCCCAAAAAGTAATACAAAGTGAGAGAATGTTGCATCCCCCAAATAAACTTGTCATTATTTAGAAGGCTTACTATGGTCTCATGCAGATATGGAAGAAAAGAGAAGAGAGCATAAAAATGTGGGATAAGGAGGAAAGTGAGAAACCATTCAATTGTAAAAAACAACACTGCCAGGATCAACTCTTTGACTTGACTATAAATGTGTATTGGGTTATTCTTTTTAATTTGCCTTTTTTCCACTTTTTTTGTAGTATAATCTGGTAACAGAAAAGGACCCTCTTGTTATTGTTATTTCCACTACTGGTACTGGAGACCCTCCAGACACAGCTTGCAAGTTTGTTAAGGAAATTAAAAACAAGACCTTGCCACCCGATCATTTTGCACATCTACGTTATGGATTGTTAGGTAATACAGTATTTCCTGTGTCACCTTTTCCTGCACTTCTATATCACTATCAGAAATTAATTTGTCACTATATTGTCCCCACTGTACTGTGGTATCTTTTAAGTAATTCTTAAAATAGTAAATAAGCCTATTCATAGTTGTGAAGGTATAAGGGATACCATTTGATTGAGGTCAGAAGCCAGTGGCTCGCTGACTAGCACTGCTGGCTGTGCTTGGTAAAAGATCTGCAGCTTAATTGGCTGATTCTCATAAAAGGAAGAGCAAGAAATGGTGATAAGGCGCTGCAGTACCTGACAGAGACTGGAGCTACTGCTGGAAGGAGCTGTTCCCTGAAACAGAAATGAACAGAAGGGAGACTGAGAAGTTTTTATCTTGTTTGTTGAGGAGACTTGAATTAAAAGAAAAAGAACCATAACAACTAACCCTGCTGGAAACTACCTTTTTAGAGACGGTGAGACAGTTCCTGGCAGAATTCCCCAAGGGCGGGTGGGGGTTCAAGAAGAGCAAGCCAGGGTCCATCCAGAAGAGAGTGCTATGAGACAGGCCCCAATCTCTTACAATACAACTTTTATTCTTCTATTATTAGCTGATTTTATGTGTAATAATTGTGGAGCAGTATAGCAAGGATTTGTCATGAATGTGATTCAAAATTAAAATGTGATTTATCAATTTAATATCCATTGGACATCCTGGGGGTGAGAAGTAATTTGACACTATAAATTGAGATAGGAGGTGTGGGTTTGGAAAATATTTGTATTACCAAATTTATAATAAATTGACTGTGTCAGTTTGGAGATGTGAAAGTGTAAAAAATGTCAGTTTTTTTTTTATCTGAAAATTCTTAATACTTGTGCCACGACCTATTTCAACAATAGTGAGAAACACCAAATGGCTTTTGTTAATTAAGCTACAGTTAAAATTGTTAACACTTGTCAGTAACTTAATGGGGAAAAATCAAAGAATATTGAGGTAAAAAACCAAAACTCAGACAGTTCTGGAAATGCAAAAGTTCATCTGAAAAGCTTTAATTCCACTATCAGAGAGCTGCTGACCGTTCAATCTGCATTTAAACTATCAGGCTAAAAAACTTTGTCATGTGTATTCTGAAGTTTATTTTTAGTTATGAGAGTTTTCTTAAGAGTATAAGAAGTATGCAGCCATAGTCATATTAATTCTGGAGAAGATACTGTATTTATTACTCATTGCAGATGGACGATTGAGAATGTGAAACAGCATTGATTTTTTGTAACTAATTTCATGTTTGCTAGCTATGTGTGTAATGACATCTTTAAAACTAACAGTATACCTACTGAGAGGGGACATAACAGTTTTCAAGTACATAAAACATTGTTACAAGGAGGAGGGAGAAAAATTGTTCTCAACCTTTGAGGATAGGACAAGAAGCAATGGGGCTTAAATTGCAGTAAGAGCAGTTTGGTTTGGAAATTAGGAAAAACTTCCTAACTGTCAGGGTAGTTAAGTACTGGAATAAATTGCCTAGGGAGGTTGTGGAATCTCCATCACTGGAGATTCTTAAGAGCAGGTTAGACAAACACCTGTCAGGGATGGTCAAGATATAACTTAGTCCTGCTATGAGTGTAAGGGACTAGATTAGATGACCTCTCAAGGTCCCTTCCAGTCCTAGGATTCTTTGTGAATAATGGGGAAAGATATCATAGAATATCAGAGTTAGCAGGGACCTCAGGAGGTTATCTAGTCCAACCCCCTGCTCAAAGCAGGACCAATCCCCAGCCAGATTTTTGCCCCAGATCCCTAAATGGCCCCCCTCAAGGATTGAACTCACAACCCTGGGTTTAGCAGGCCAATGCTCAAAGCACTGAGCTATCTCTCCCCCCATAAAAATTCTCTTCACCCCAGATGGGACTTGAACTCACAATCCCTGGTTTAGGAGGCCAATGCCTTGGTCATTAGGCCACTGGGGCTACCATGAAAAAAACCCTTTGTTATGTTAAGTACATCTTTTACTGTGGCCTCTCTAGCCATTGAGAAGGCAGTGAGAACTCCTAATCACAGCGTAGTTAAGAGCAGGTAGTCTCTCTGACTTTGCGCTGGATCAGTATCTTTACTAAGGCGATAGAGGTTATGGACCTAAGGGTATGTCTACACTTACCATTTAAAGCGCAAAAAGGTTTTGCGCTAAAACCGCTGGAGTGTCTACACTTGTTAATGACTTTTTGCAGTGAAACTCAGAAGGTTCACCGCAAAAAGAAAACCACCTTCACGCAAGCCATACAGCTCTTACCGCCTTTCTTTTTGCATTGCTGTGAAAGTGAAGACACGTTCTAGCAGTGTAAACGCCTTTTGGCCTCCGGCGGGTATCCCACAGTTTCAAAAGTGATCATACTGGCCAGCATCTCCGCTGCTCTGACGCACCGATGTCCGCCCCTTCGACTGTAAACCCTGGGAAGTTTGAAGCTCCCTTTCCCTTTGTTTGTAGATGTGGCAGGGAAAGCAGCCAGACAGCAGGAGGTTTTTAAAAAAAATCCCATGGAAGACACAAGGAACTAATGGGGCTCCTAAGACATGAAGCAGGGCAGCACAAGGCACTGAGCAGGGTCCCAGAATGCCTTCCGCTCACACCCCCCTTCCCCGAGAGCTGCACTGTGGGATAGCTGTCCTACAGCGCTACTCTCAGCAGCGATAGAAGTGCTGGTAGTGTAAACACTCTCTGACGCCTGAGGAATTGAGTGAATACACAAATCAGCACTTTACTTTCACCGGTTCCCTATCACCAGTGAAATTTACAGTGCAAAAACTCTGTAAGTGTAGACATACCCTAAGAGTTATGCTTGGATATTTTTTACTCAGTATCTCTGATGGTTCCTGCGCAAGACAATGGTGAAAATTTCATGATTTATGTATTTCCATATACCTCTCTGGTTTTAAAATTTACCTTTACTTAAATTTTCCTGCATTTCTAATGTTTGTCTCTTTTTCTTTTTCTCTCGAGTATGTTTAATATGTTTTCCTTGGTTAATATATGTCACTAATTTAAACATCTTAGCTCTAGCTGAAATAAATTTATTTCTTGGGTATTCACGTGAATTTACAACCTACAGTTTGTTTTTAGTTAGTTTAGGTGTTTTGTGTTTCTCTGACAACAGTTTCTGATGATAAACACCTAAAACATGGCAGGAAGATGTTGCTTGTGGCATTTTCAGTGCCTACAACTGTTGCAACAGAAACACAACATGTTGAACTTGGAACTGGGCAGGTAAATGAAGAGGAACCATTTGTCAACTATACCTTAATAATGTAATCAGCTATTCAATTTTCAGTTCACATGTGTTTTGTTAATTTAGGATTTAAATATATCTACTTTCATATACATACTAACTTTCCTGTTTGTGAGACAATTGACTCATAGAATATCAGGATTGGAAGGGACCTCAGGAGTTCATCTAGTCCAATCCCCTGCTCAAAGCAAGGCCAATCTCCAGATAGATTTTTGCCCCAGATCCCTAAATGGCCCCCTTAAGGATTGAGCTCATAACCTGGGGTGTAGTAGGCTGTTGCTCAAACCAGTGAACTATCCCTCCCCCCGATTGGTTTTCACTGTAAATTTTTACTGTAACTTTTATATCTATTTGTTTGTTAGCTATAAAACCTCTTTACATGAATTTTTCAGGTCTGGGAGATTCTGAATACATGTTCTTCTGCAATGGTGGGAAGATAGTAGACAAACGGCTCCAGGAACTCGGTGCACAGCATTTCCATGAGACTGGACTGGCGGATGATTGCGTAGGGTATGAGCAGAATTAGTTTAATTGTTTTTTATTTTCTCCCAATAAACATGGGATTAAAGATGAATCCTGCCAGTTACTGAGTACTCAGTGAAGCCAGTAGTAGTTGACGATGCTTAGCATCTGAGTGGATTAAACCCAGTATGAGCTAGAAGAATAATACTTATCTTCAGTGAATTTGAATGGGCCTGTTCACTGAGAAGTGATAACTGTCCACAACTCCAGTGGGAAGCTGTGAGGGTTCAGCACTTCTGAAAACTGCATCTGAAGACCTTTTCATAAATAGTGACATTCTTGGCCTTTTTCTACCTATATTATGTGTACAAGGTTTTATTACTAGTTTTTAGGTTTAACCAAAGAAAATTCAGTCTTATAAATACAAAACAACCACAGTTCAACAATATCTCTATAGTCGAAACAGTGGGTAATGTGACCTCTACCTAGTATATGGAGACTGGATTCAAACAAAACTGTGACCTCAGCTTCATACAAAGGAGATTTACCCATCTGAGCATACCAGTTTTCGTCTCGCAATAGGTGGAGCCTTCTGTGCAGTTTGTTTTTGTCTCTCCCCTTCCCCCCCCTTCTATAGTAGCAGGATTAGTTTGAGTACTCCCTAAAATTATCCTTTTTTCCTCTATAAAACGGCCCACTAATCTCAGTGTTTTCTTTAGAGAGAGAGATTTTTACTGAGAGAAAATAGTTTTTTTTCTTGTTTTCCTGATTTCATTTTCCATCAAATGGAGACCAGAGTCTTTGCTATATATATTGGTTAGGCGTATGAAGGTGCTGGACAGAATAAAACATACAAACATTGCCACAACCATAAGACTTATTTTTGTGTTTTAAAAAAATTGAACTTTATTAGTTATGTCTGTAGCTTACAATAAACAGCTGAAAGTCATGTGTTTTCCAGTTACTCTTTTTTTAATTCCTTATGATGAGCTTCATCATAAGAAGATAAAAGTTGTATAGTTGGCAGAAAGAGAGTGCTTTTCCCCCCTAAATCTGAAAAAAAAAAGTGATGTCAAATGCAAACATGAATTTTTAGTAAAGGAAGTCCTCTTAATAGTAGCTATTTGTGTACATGTAATGAAAAATGAAAAGTGTGATCAAGTCTTTTTTGATCTTTTGGTTATTTGTAAGAATTAAAAGTGAAGTAAGTCATTCTTTACCTCCACTTTGCCTTGTTTGTTTCAGTTTGGAAATAGTGGTAGAGCCATGGATCGATGGGCTTTGGCTTGCCCTTAGAAGAGAATTTACGTCACGGAACATAAAAGAAGACATGAGCAACAATCTCAGGGCTGTGTCTAATGGTGTCTCTGCAATGACTGTGGACCCAAGCATGTCAGGAGCATGCAGCTTAGACTCAGAAATACAGCATTTGAAGCTAGAAGATTTAGAAGTGAAGGTTACTGATACTTTATCCCAAAGACCAGCTAATGTTCATTCTGTCGTGTCTGTTCAAAATACTGAACCTTCACTTGATCGATCAGTCCCTCCTCTTTCAAAGTCCACTCTTAATATTCCTGCTCTGCCATCAGAATATATAGATGTACAGTTTCAGGACAGCATTGACCAGGTAAGGACTTCAGAGTTTTGGATGATAAAAGATAGAAAATTCTGATCAATGGATGTTTTCACTCATGATCCTATAGTTAAATGGAGTGTAGTTGTAGCTGTGTCTGTCCTGGGAGATTAAAGAGACAGGGTGGGTGATGCAATATTTTGTATTGGACCAACTTCTGTTGGTGAGAGAGACAAGTTTTCGAGCTGAAGAAGAGCTCTGTGTGGCTCAAAAGCTTGTTTCTCTTGCCAGCAGAAGTTGGTCCAATAAAAGACATTACCTCCTCCACCTTGTGTCTCTGTAGTTAAATGGGACATTTGAACAAATTTCTAAGGCATATATGTTTCTGAAGGAAGCAGATTTTCATATTACTTTATAAGTAACAAATGTCTGCTTATATCTGAATGTTTGTCAGTTTAGCGGACCGTGACCTTATAAGTATAACCAGTTACATCAGACAAGAGGATAAGCTCTCTCTAAGGAAATCACACCAAAATGCCAGGAAGTGAACAACTTTAATTGCTGGAATCATCAAAAGTTTATTTTGTAGTAATGAAAAACTCCTTCCATTAAAATCAGTCTAGTCCAATTTTAATACAAAACGCAGTACTTTACAAAAGTCAGAAATGATCGTGCAAAAACAGCTCAAAATATAGCTTCATAGTCAATAACTGTGACAAACTTGCCACTGTAATAACATCATACTAGTTTTACTGTTGTAAATTGAACAATAAATTGCAGATTAAAAACTAGCAAATGGTTGATATTAGTGCTTTAAGCTCAATATGCTTTTACAAAGAAGCCATTTAAACTATGGTATACTGTGCAAAACAAAACAAAGCCTGCACAACCTCAGCTTGTGATCTGTTGCACTCTATAGCTGTGAAGCCCAGAATGGTCTAGAAAATACAGCTAAAAACAGTACTTTGTTTGCCAGACCGTGAGCATTTGGTTCATTTGGTTATATTTCTAAGTTTCTTTCAGATGACAGTTGGAATTCTGACATGCTCTTTGTTTTACTTTAGTTTTGAAATAAAATCCCATGTGAGGTTGAGAGAGATCGTGTTTGCTTTTTTTAATTTTTATTTTTTTTAAAAATCAAGTTGATACCTAACTTTCTTCCAGTCAGCTGTTGTTAAGCTGCTCTCTACCCTTCTGGTGCTTGTGGTGAGACAGCTTCAAAGTTTGACAGGAGTTATACTAACCAAGAAATGACAAGTATGTTGAAATAATATTTTAGATCCCAGGTAAACACCTTTCTGCAGATGGAGCCAGAACTTTCTTAGTTAACCAAGGAACTGTGCATTTTGATGTAGTACTCAACAGTGGAAGATTTAAAATTCTTAGCTTCAAAGGGCCAAAACTTTTCTATATACATTCTGCAAACCTCTGGACTGTTGTTCAGATGTCTCACTTTTTAACAGTTCTCTGTTTCTCTGAAACAATGAAAATAAAGCATTTGAATAGTTTTTGTATTGTTTTAAATTCTAGAAACATTAAGCTTTCATTTTAATCTGTGAATGAAAACGTCAACAATTTTAGAAAGTTAAAAGGCAAACGATAAGAAAATGAACATTCTAGTTATCCATTTGAGACCTATTAGGAAACAATGAGAGAATTACAAAACTAGAAGTTGAGAGGGGAAGAGGAAAGGGAAAAGGTGGAGTCACTGGTCACTGGATAGGTGCATGGCTAGGGAGTGAAATTAATTGTCATTGGATGTTGAAGACAGGAGTGGGTGTATTTTTAAACTGGCAGCAGAGAGCATTTAGAAATTTCTGGAAGGAGAGTAGGGCATCTGATAATGTGGCACTATACATAGCTGATTATATTTCATCCTATTTTTCAATCTTCACAGTATTGAATTCACTGGATGTTTTTTCTTACCCTGTAAGTGTAGTAAATTTGAAGAATACGGATCAATAGTACAAATAGGTGATTAGTGTTTACACCCAAATTGTGCCCTGGCTAGCCTAATAGGCAGAGGAGGAAGTAGTGTAAGGTGCCTCCTTACAGCCTGTCCTGGCTACCTGCCGCACAGGAATAGAAGCAGCTGTGGTGTAGGTGGGCAAGAGGGGCAGGGAATGAGTGGAGTGTTGGTGCGCACATGCCACACCATCACAATGGGTGGTATGAGAACCAAATGGTTAATTTAGAGGGTGCTAATTAGGTTCCTGGGTGGACTGGCTGATATCTGCCCAGATCTTAAAGGAAAGATGTGACAGCTGTCCTGATGTGTTCAGATTTGCTGATGGATGCATGTTGAGTGGTTTTTTTTCCTGCTAGGATCTTTTGGAATTCAAGCCCAGGGTTGTGAGTTCAATCCTTGAGGGGGGCCATTTAGGGATCTGGGGCAAAAATCTGCCTGGGGATTGGTCCTGCTTTGAGTAGGGGGTTGGACTAGATGACCTCCTGAGGTTCCTTTCAATCCTGATATTCTATGATTTTTGTAGAATGTTGAAGCCTCTTTCTCATAAGTGGGAATAGATGTTAATACCCAACTACTTGACCCTGAGGCAGTTTCCTCAAAAAATTATGGCTTTTTATTTTTAGGGTCCAAGCCCACAGTGCCTGTGGTTTGCAACAACAAGCATTTTTAGAAAAACTGCTGGCGTAAGTGGGACTTTTTCCAAACTGATGTTAGTATAAAGGTTGATTAGGAAATCAGGTGTGAAGTATGTCTTGGACTCTGATAACATGGCCCAAAGACAGAGATGCTATATGGCAGAGAGACCAAGGATTGTAAACTGTAACAATTAAGGTTAAAGTGAAAGGCCTTGTTTCCTTCCAGTCAATGAGCCACTTGAGGAGACTGATGTACCTTATCCCTGAGGCCAGCCAACTGTGGGAAGAAGAGGTGAAGACAACACTGACTAGGTTATGCCAACTGATCAAGATAGCCCATTTGAAATAGAAATAATTAAAGTTTATATACTAGACATGTATTCTCCTATGCACTGTTGCTTTCACAGTGGTGCAGCTATGCTGGCACATGGGGGTAGCATGCACTATGCTATGTATAGACTAGGCACAGTTTACTCCTCCCCTGAGGATGGAGTTGGTTGAGTGAGTGTGTATCACAGTCTCTCTTTCCTAGGCTATTCCTGGAGCAGTGCAACAAAATGCTGTCTCTACTTATCTCACACAGGGCCGGCCCGGGGGGCGGGGGGGGGGCAAGTGGGGCAATTGCCCCAGGCCCCCACGAGAATATAGTATTCTATAGTATTGCACCTTTTTTTTTTATTGACGGGGCCCCCGAAATTGCTTTGCCCCAGGCCCCCTGAATCCTGTGGACGGCCCTGATCTCACAGTCTAGCCCTTAGTGATTACCAAACATCAGAGTATGAGTTTATCTAGCTCAGCATATCTGAAGCTGAAGGGAGAGTTGAGACAAGCAATTGAGTGGAACAAAATAACGAAAAGATAATTCTTCTAAATTAAAATGTAAACATTGCCAAGCAACAGGATGGAACTGCTCTGCTTGGTCAAAGCTGGTAAAAGCCACCCACTGGAGTGTAGCACAGGAATCTTACCATGCATGACAGTTTAGAAAACTAGCTCAAGGGACCCAGATTAGCTACAAATAAATGAATTCGAGCATCTCCAAGATATAAAAAAGTAGCCTTCAACACACTCTTATTTTAAGGCTTTGATAGATGTTTGGCTCTAATCTTAAAAGGATTTTATAAAATTCTAATCTAGACCTTGAGAATCGCACCTCTACTTCTTCCCTTTCTCTGTAATGCGTAGGAAAGTTTGAATTTTGCTATTGAACGAAAAACTTAAATGTGGCAATTTGAAGTTTAGTGGTAGAATATCTCTAATCCCCTTCATTTTCAGTTTAAATTGATTTTTACTGAAAAAATCCTGGGAAAAGGATTTTCCCCCCTGTCCTTCAGTCCACCAAAAGAAACCCTGATATTTACCCAGACAAACTATTAATATTTTTTCCACCCATTTCCACCTGTTTTTGTTGTTGTAATAAACACTGATAAATTCCTGGGAAAAATTAAATAAAATAAAAACCGAAAATGAAGGGCCCTAAGTATCTCTTAGTGTGTCTCTTTCTCAGCTATTTGTTGGTCAAATCCAAATGGTTCCCAGTGCTCCCAGAGCATGGATAGGGGAAAAACGTTTCAGTCAAGTCTGTTTTTTCTTTACTGTTGTTTTTGACAGGGACAGTTAGAACTGCTCAGCAGGTTGGGTCCTTTTGGTTCCCTATTGTAATCCTGCTGCCTACGTGTTTTCCAAGATCTCGCGTTACAGCAACCATCCTCTTCCTTCCAAGGAAAGCTAAAGGCAGCTCTTACTGAAGCCCATCAACTCAGACCTTAGCATCACCAAAAAAGGATTTCCTCTCATCCACTCCCAAGTTCAGGGCTGGGTACATGGCCTCTTTAGTGATTTATTTGGACTCTGAGTCTGAATGACTGGAACTAAAACATTCTGAGAGCAATTTAAAATGTTTTTTAAGGATTAACAGTTCAAAATGAATATTATTAATTTCTCTGCTTTAATTATAAGGAGTCTTTAGAATTAGATTAAATTTTTCGGACTAATAGTTTGTTTGGAAAAAGAAAACCGTTTCAGTATACCTGAAATTATTTGTGACGTTGACGTCAATTCATTGAATAGTTTTGGTCACAAAAATTTGGGGAGGGACTGATGTCATTCACAAAGGAGGAGGAGGTGATCAGGGCCGGTGCTTCCACTAGGCGACTCTAGGCGGTCGCCTAGGGCGGCAGCATTTGGGGGGCAGCATTTTGCCGCCCTCAGCGGAAATTCGGCGGCGGGGGGTCCTTCCGCTCTGGATCTTCAGCGGAAATTCGATGGCGGGTCCTTCACTTGCTCCGGGACCCGCCGTCGAAGTGCCCCGAAGACGCGGAGCGGAAGGACCCCTGCCGCCAAGGACCCCAGGCCCCCTGAATGCTCAGAGGAGGAGTGCTGCTGCCTAGGGTGGCAAAAATCCTGGCACTGCTCCTGGAGGTAATGATGGTGCCCATTCATAATGACAATGAATACTCATTGTGCCAAGAAAAGTGTGAACATGACTATATAAACTGGTGGACAGGACACTTATCTGGGATCTGGGTGACCCAAGTTCCTGCTCCAATGATTTTTTAAATTATTTATACAAAGTGGAACAATTTCAACAGAAAGGATTGAGAGACCCACACACCAGAATATACCATAGTCCAGTAGTTAAGGCGCTGTCCTGTAGTGAGTGAGACCCAAGTTCAAATAATTTCTTCGTGTGAGACATAGGAGAAAATTGAACCTTGGTCTCCCACATCTCAGGTGAATGCCCTAATGGCTGGGCTAAAAGTTATAAGGAGGGTGGCACGACCACATCCCCTTCTCTTCCTCTGGCTGTTTTTGTGAATCTAGCCCTTAACAAATGTGTGGAAAATCCATTCAGGGTTTAACCAAAATGGATTTTTTCAGTTCACTGAAATTTTTTGCAATGTTTGTTTCAGTTTGACTTGAAATTATATATTCGGAACTGCCAGGAAACTGAAAAATTAGTTGGAGTCTGGTGGCACCTTAAAGACTAACAGATTTATTTGGGCATAAGCTTTCGTGGGTAAAACACCACTTCTTCAGATGCATGGAGTGAAAATTACAGATGCAGCCATTATATAATGACACACGAAGGGAAGGGAGTTACCTCACAAGTGGAGAACCAGTGTTGACAGGGCCAGTTTGATGAGGGTGGATGTAGTTTGCCAATGAATTTTAGTTCTGCTGTTTCTCTTTGAATTTAACACCATTAATTTGGGCTTGAATAGGGACTGGGAGTGGCTGGCTCACTACAGAAGCAACTTTCTCTCTCCTGGCATTGACACCTCCTCATCTATTATTGGGAGTGGACTACAGTGAAAAATTAGTTGTTTAGGATACTGATGTCAATAATTGCCCTTCTGTAATTGATAACATAATTCCCATTCATCTGAGAAAACAGTATAGTATATATTGCATTTTCAATTTTCTTAACTCTTCTCCAGTGGTAGTGGATGATGCTCACTGATATGGGTGGGAGTGAAATGAGGGCTTGAGCCTCACCTTTAATTGAGGACACCCTCTGGCAGAGGCGGGCTGGAATTGTCAGCGTTTCCCCTTCATTGAGTCAGAAAAGGTTGCTACAGTGTAGCATGCTCCTCCTTCTGGGTGCTGAGCATGTTGCCTCTCCTGGTGTGCACAGAACCTGAATTCTGATTCTCTTTTCTTATACTATCTATAGAGTGCTGAGGCTTACAAATACAACTGTATTTAAGATAGGTTTCAGAGTAGCAGCCGTGTTAGTCTGTATCCGCAAAAAGAACAGGAGTACTTGTGGCACCTTAGAGACTAACAAATTTATTAGAGCATAAGCTTTCGTGGACTACAGCCCACTTCTTCGGAAGCTCTCTCCCATAAGCTGCTTACTGGTCTAACCCTAGTTGTATTCTATATTTCTAATTTTTAAATCTTGAATAATTTTAAATGGTTTATATTCTTACTTTCAACATTCATTAGTTATGGTGTTAGCCACTCTGTCATCTTTTCCTCATACAGTATCTGATATAATTGTCACTTTTAAATTGGCTCTTTTAAGTTAACTCTTTAAAAAGAAAACTACTGTACCTGTATTTGATATCCACTTTAGCGGTGACTTGTCAAACTATATTTTCCTCCCCACCCCCATTTGGGCTTATTATACTTCAGAATTGGTTTGAAAGTGCCCCTGTTTGTACTCGGGTATGAATTTTTTAAAAAGGTATGGGGGAGATACTGTATGTGTATAAAGAGTGCATGTTTACAGTGTGGTTTGGAATTCTCTTTTTAGGATGTTAATATGAAAAAGAAAATGGTCCTACTAATTACTTGTGAGTTTATTTGCACATGTTATATAGTAGGTTGCCATACAATTGGTTATATTTAATCAGATTAAACTTTTATGTCCTTGTTTTCAGGAACTCAGTGTGTCCTCATTGATTTCAGATGGTACAGTCTTCCATGTTCCAGTGACCAAAGCAGTTCAGCTCTCTAGGGAAGATGCAGTAAAAACAGCTTTGCTGTTAGAACTTGATATTTCAGTAAGTTGATAAACCTCCTCAGCTGGTGGAAGAAAGGGTAAAAAATATTAATTGGAGAACAAAGTTGTTAAGAATGATGTTATATGCTAATCTTCTGGGTTATATTATTAAAATATCTTTCTACAGTGGGTTGAAGTGTGGGTCAACTGAGATTGATCTTGTTTGTAATACAAAGGATCTCATTCATTCTGTAGAGGTTATGGCCTCACATAAGCTAACATTTAATAGTTGTTACATATTTTATATGTTTTATATTCAAGTAGTTTACTAGTCTTAATAATTCATTGCTAGTAATTTAACAAGAGTCTTTATTTAGATACATAATTAACATATGCAGAGCATCTTAACTCAGATCAATCTATCAGTCCCACATGACATCAACTCACTCCTCCCACTGTCAGCTCCCACACCATAGAGAGTCCATTCGTTTTCTTAAAGACACAGTAACACCACATCTACTTTTAATTTTTTTAGTCACAAATTTATTTGTGTGTGTGTGTGTGTGTCTCTGTCTGTCTACAAAATCAGAATTAACTGCTTGCTGTAAGTGTTTTAACAAGTCTTCTTTGATACAATGACCATCTAACTTCTGTATTTGCTATAATATTGAAGTTGCTCTTATGACTTAGAGGGATGATGTCATTTTCATTTTCTTGCTGCTCTTGATGCAGTATTATATAATTTCTTTTTTCAGCTGAGTTTGACAATTGAAGGTAACAATTGCAAATGTCTCCAATTTTGTCTATACACTTGACCATCATTAGTCATGTCACAAGATTGAGGTGTTACGTCTTTTGTTACAGTGGCTTTCTGAGCCCAATTTCTACCATTTAGATATGTACTCTATCATTTGGTTTCAAATAAGGTAGTTCATGCGTTCCTTTATCATAATAATTCTTTTGATACAAATGTGACTGATATTTATATTTACTTCTTTCCTTATTTCATTCAAATTTGTTTTTCACTTCTGAGTAACTTTTAGCTAATTTTTGTAAACTTCTTTCAATTCTTTTTATAACTTCCCTTACTCATGGTACCATGTGTTGTTCTATATTCAAGTAATCCACTCGTCTTTAATATATATATAGCGTTGTTGTAGCCATGTTGGTCCAATGATATTAGAGCGACAAGAGATATTGGGTGAGGGAATATCTTTTATTGGACCAACTTCTGTGGATGAGAGAGCCAAGCTTTTGAGCCACACAAAGCTCTTCTTCAGTTCTGGGAAAAGAACTCCAAGCATCACAGCTAAATGCGAGGTGGAACAGATTGTTTAGCATAAGCAGGTAGCACATATTCTAAGAGATCGTTCAAGGTAGAGTGGCCCGTTAATACCTCTGTAGTCAGAGGACAAAAAGAGGGGGTTACAGATTGTTGTAATAAGCCATAAATGCAGTGTCTATATTTAGTCCATGATTTTTAGTGCCTAGCAGAATTACGAATTTAAGATCCCAGGCTTGTCTTCTGAAAGTGTTGTGTAGGTTTCCTTTGAGGATGAGGACTTATAGGTCAGACATAGAGGATTGCTTTGTGAAACATCACATCTACCATAATCTCTCTACCACCGAATGGATAGCCATACCGACCCTGAGATGTAACCACCAGATAGTGATGAAACCATCATAGTCCTCAACCGTGATGACTACATTAACGACATCATCTACTAGAAAGAATTCAAAGAAGCCCTCACACCACAATTTACTCAGGAACTCAAGGATATCATCAAATCATTCCCCAAACAACTCCAAGCGAAACTCTACAAACTCTTCTTCCACAAACCCACCCCATGGACATTCTGCATGGACAGATGGCCTAAAATCCCTCATAGATTTCCACCACAACTTCTTACCAACAGAAGTTGGTCCAATAAAAGATATTACCTCAGCCACCTTGTCTCTCTAGTCTTTAATAATAATAATTCATTGCTTGTAAATTAACTATCTTTATTAAATACATAGCTGACGTATATACAGAGCATCTGAACTCAGGTCAGTCTCTCAGTTTAACCTCAAACCAACTGCTTCCTCCAGCTGTCAGCTCCTACATCCTGGAGATTCTGTTCATTCTCTTAAAGCCACATTAATATCACAGTGACTTCTATTAATTTTGGATTGAGTGAGATTGGTTTTGTGGAAGATTCTTTCAATAAAAGAAAGGGGTTAAAGTAACCAGAAATGAGGAAATTGAGGGGAAAAGTTGATGCCAGGAAAAATGACAAAAAGACTCCATGAATACACAGCTTTGAAGATGTTTTGAAACACTGGCTAATAAGGTAAAACTTATATTCCATGATACTTAATCAATGCTTGCATGTATCTTCCTTGCATTGTGTAGCAGGAATGAGGCCCGGTCAAGTGATCTGGGCACAAGACAGGAAGCTAGGAATTCCTGAGTCTAATTCTGGCTTTGACACTGACTTTCTTTGTGTCTCCATATCACTTAAACTCTCTACCTCTATTTTCCTAGTTGTAAAAACAGAATGACTTGACTGTACGAAGGGAAAACTAGAGGAAAAGCACGATACAAGAGCTAGGTGGTATTGTATGGATATTGTTTAAATAAAGATAGCATTTTTATCAATGTACTCTATACAGCCAATATAGAATTGTATAGAATTCTACTGCAGTGATATCACAGTCTGTTCAATTCTGTAGGTCCTTAAAGTAACTTCTGTAGGCTCTTTAACCCTATTGGTTTAATTTTTTGTTTATAAGGACTCCAAGATCTTTGTTGAGTGGTAACAGCTAATTTAGATCCCATCATTTTGTATGTATAGTTGGGATTATGTTTTCCCATGTGCATTACTTTGCTTTAGGCAGTCAAGTGACTAAAAAAAGTAATCACAATTAAATGTGAGATTAAAAAAATTAATTGTGATTAATTGCACTGTTAAACAAGAATAGAATACCATTTATTTAAATAGTTGGATATTTTCTACATTTTCAAACATATTGATTTCAATTACAACACAGAATACAAAGTATACAGTGCTCACTTTATATTATTTTTTATTACAAATATTTGAACTGTAAAAAAAAGAAATATTATTTTTCAATTAATCTAATACAAGTACTGTAGTGCAATCTCTTTATCATGAAAGTTGAACTTACAAATGTAGAATGATATACAAAAAATGACTGCACTTAAAAATAAAACAATATAACACTTTAGCGCCTACAAGTCCACTCAGTCCTACTTCTTGTTCAGCTAATCACTCAAACAAGTTTGTTTACATTTGCAGGAGATAATGCTGCCCGCTTCTTGTTTACAATGTCCCCTGAAAGTGAGAACAGGCATTCACATGGCACTGTTGTAGCCGGCGTTGCAAGATATTTATTTGCCAGATGCGCTAAAGATTCATATGTCCCTCCATGCTTCAACCACCATTCCAGAGGACATGCGTCCCTACTGATGACAGGTTCTGCTCGATAACGATCCAAAGCGGTGCGGACTGAGGCACATTTTTTTTTTATTATCTGAGTCAGATGCCACCAGCAGAAGGTTGATTTTCTTTTTTGGTGGTTCGGGTTTTGTAGTTTCCACGTTGGAGTGGTGCTCTTTTAACTCTTCTGAAAGCATGTTCCACACCTCCTCCCTCTCAGATTTTGGAAAGCACTTCAGATTCTTAAACCTTGGGTCCAGTGCTGTAGCTATCTTTAGAAATCTCACATTGGTACCTTCTTTGTGTTTTGTCAACTCTGCAGTGAAAATGTTCTTAAAATTAACAATGTGCTGGGTCATCATCCAAAACTGCTATAACATGAAATATAGGGCAGAATGCAGGTAAAACAGAGCAGGAGACATGCAGTTCTCCCCCAAGGAGTTCAGTCATAAATTTAACTTCCCCCCCCCCCCCTTTTTCTTTTTTTTTAAACGAGCATCATCAGCATGGAAGCATGTCCTCTGGAATGGTGGTCGAAGCATGAAGGGGCATACAAATGCTTAGCATATCTGGCACATAAATACCTTGTAATGCCAGTTACAAAAGTGCCATACAAATGCCTGTTCTCACTTTCAGGTGACATTGTAAATAATAAGCGGGCAGCATTGTCTCCCATAAATGTAAACAAACTTGTTTGTGTGAGCGGTTGGCTGAACAAGAAGTAGGACTGAGTGGATTTGTAGTTTGTAAAGTTTTACATACACCTCTACCCCGATATAACGCGGTCCTCAGGAGACAAAATCTCACCGTGTTATAGGTGAGACCGCGTTATATCGAACTTGCTTTGGCCCCCTCTGTTCCTTGTTCCCTGACCGCCCCCTTCCAGAGACCCCTGTCCCTAATCACCCCCAGGATCCCACCCCCTACCCTACCCCCCTGCTCCCTGTCCCCTGACTGCTCCGACCCCTATCCACACATCTCGCTCCCTGACAGGCACTCGCCGGCAGCAGCGGGAAGCGGAGCAATGTGGCCCCAGCCCACTCGACTCTGCCACCTCCCAGCCGCGGCGCTCTGCTTCCCGCCACCATTGAGTGCGGGGAGGTTGGGGAAAGGATGCCCCCCGTACTCACTGGCAGCGGGAAGCGGAGCGCCGCAGTTGGGAGCTGGCGGAGTAGAGTGGGCTGGGGCCGGGCTGCTCCGCTTCCCAATGTCGGTGAGTGCGGGGAGGTTGGGGAAAGGACGCCTTCCGCACTCACCTGCAGCGGGAAGTGGAGCGACGTGGCCCCAGCCCGCTCCGTTTTCCTTGCCCCAGCCCTGTCACTGTGGGGGGGGGGTTGGGAAAGGTCCTGCACTCACTTGCGGCAGGAAGCGGAGTGCCACGGCTGGGAGCTGGCGGAGTGGAGCGGGCTGGGGCCGGGCTGCTCCACTTCCGCTGCTGATGGAGAGTGCGGGGGGGATCCCTTCCCCAAACCCTCTCCCCTGAGCGACATGGCTGGGGCCAGGGCGAGGGAAGTGGAGCGGGCTGCTCCCGCCCCCCTGCTAATCCCCCAGGCCACTCTGGGACTGCGGGGCCCCCAAAATTGCCCCCCACAGCTCCTGCCTCCTAGACCATGGGGTGGGGGAGTCCCTGACTGCCCCCGAGACCCTCAGCCCCTTATCCAACCCCTTGGCCCCAGCCCGGCACCCTTAACATGCTGCTCAGAGCAGCATGTCAGAGCTTTACCGCATTGTATGCGAACCCGTGTTATATCGGGTCACATTATATCGGGGTAGAGGTGTAGTTTTGTTTTGAGTGCAATTATGTAACAAACAAACAAATCTGCACTTTCATGATAAAAGGATTTCACTGCAGTACTTGTATACGGTGAATTGAAAAATAATATTTCTTCTGTTTATCATTTTACAGTGAAAATATTTGTAATAAAAATAATATAATGTGAGTACTATACACTTTGTTTTCTGTGTTGTAATTTAAATCAATATACTTGAAAAGGTAGAAAAACATCCACAAACATTTAATAAATTTCAATTGGTAATTCTATTGTTTAACGGTGTGATTAAAAGTGCGATTAATCGCGATAAATTTTTTGAGTTAATCACATGAGTTAACTGCGATTAATCAACAGTCCTACTTTGCATTTATCAACACTGAATTTTAGGTGTCATTTTGTTTCCCAGTCACCCAGTTTTCGAGATCCCTTTGTAACTCTTTTTTAAGTCTCTAAAGAGACTTAACTATCTTGAGCAATTTTATATCATCTGCAAATTTGGCCACCTCATTGTTTATCCCTTTTTCAAGATCATTTATGAATATGTTGAACAGCACTGGTTCTGGTACAGATCCCTGAAGGACACTGCTATTTACCTCTCTCCATTCTGAAAACTGATAATTTATTCCTACCCTTTGTTTCCTGTCTTTTAACCAGTTCCTGACCTATGAGAGGACGTTCCCTCTTATCCCATTACTGCTTACTTTGCTTAAGAGTCTTTGGTGAAGGACCTTGTCAAAGGTTTTCTGAAAGTTCAAGTGCACTATATCCACTGGATCACCCTTGTCTTCATGTTTGTTAACCCCCTTAAAGAATTCTAATACTTTGGTGAGGCCTGATTTCCCTTTAGAAAAAAGCCATATTGTCTCTTCCACAACAAATCGTGTTCATGTTTGTGTCTAATAATTCTGTTTCATCCAGTTTGCAGATATTGAACTTAAGCTTATCAGCCTGTAATTGCCAGGATCGCCTTTGGAACCTTTTAAAAAAATTGGTGTCACATTAGTTATCCTCTAGTTATCTGTTATAGAAGCTGCTTTAAATGATAGGTTACCTACCAAGTTAGGCATTGTGCAATTTTATATTTGAATTCCTTCAGAACTCTTGAGTGAATACCATGTTGTCCCGGTGACTTATTACTGTTTAATTTATTGATTTGTTCCAAAACCTCCTCTATTAATGCTTCACTCTGGGATACTTCCTCAGATTTGTCACCAAAAAATGAATGGTTCAGGTGTGGGAATCTTCCTCTCAACCTCTGCAGTGAAAACTTCCTTGCATGCTCCTTTAGCACCTTGATCGTTCAGTGGCCCCAGTAATTGTTTGACAGGCTTCCTGCTTCTGATGTATTAAAAAAAAAAACATTTTGCGCTAGTTTTTTGAGTCTTTGGTCAGTTTTTCAAATTCTTGTTTAGCATGCCTAATTATGGTTTACCTTTTGACTTGCTAGAGTTTATGCTCCTTTCTGTTTTCCTAAGTAGGATTTAACTTTCATTTTTTAAAGGATGCCTTTTTGCCTCTAACCACTTACTTTACTTTGTTTAGTCATGATGGTACTTTTTTGGTCCTCTTACTATGTTTTTTAATGTGGAGTATATATTTAATTTGAGTCTCTATTATAATGTTTTAAAAAGGTTTAAGGTTTAAGGGCATTCACCCACGAAAGCTTATGCTCCAATACATCTGTTAGTCTTAAAGGTGCCACAGGACTCTGTTGCTTTTTACAGATCCATACTAACACGGCTACCCCTCTGATACTTTGCTTAGTAGTAAGTCATCAGTTAACATCATGCACCTCAGCCAAATAAAGAGACTACAACCTCTTATTTATTCAGAGATCTAGTTTTATGTTTAATTTTCTTTGAATTTCTCTTACTTGTGCTAATTTTCTCAGGAAAAGGAAATAATTGTATATCATTATAATCACCATTCACCGAAGTATTTTAACCTGCTAATTTTCTGTTAATGGTAACAAATTTATGTAAATTGTTCACCATGAAGATTTAATATTGATTTAAATCTCCAGAAATAGAAAAACAATATACACAGCTAATGGTGAATCGGGGCCTCTTGTATATACAAATCTCCTTGTAAACACATTTTTTTCTTCATAAACTGTTTAACTGGGCTTATTATGTATTTGAAAATCTCTTTGACCTGTAAGAGACTAGGTTTCCTAAGTAGAAAGCTTAAATTTAAAAATAAAAGGTTACATGCTTAGATTTCTGACGTACCAGGGCCAAATATAATAAAAATATAAAATGATGGTGTAGTGTTAAACAGCAAGATTTTGTTTTATGAGTGTGGAGAAAATGGGCCAGGGTTTATTACACAGCTTTATAGAAAAAAAATCTTTATTTTATAAACAGAAAACAACATTTTGCTACCAACCTGGAGATGCCTTCTGTGTCATATGCCCCAACAATGCCAGGGAGGTGCAAGAACTTCTTCATCTCTTGGGACTTTCAGAAAGGAAAGAGTGCTTTGTTTGCTTAAAGATTAAACAAGCCACTAAAAAGAAAGGTAATATATAAATGCACTATTAATCAAGAAATAATGCTTGTTTGCCTATTTAAATATAATGAAAGCTCATAGGTGTGAACATTTTGGCTTGAATTTTTCAAATGTTAGGACATTTGGGTATTTAATCTTATTGGCACTTAAAAAGAAGGTGTGGGGAGGGGGTGTGCAAAACACTGGCCATGATTTTACTAGGTATATCTCTAACAATCAGAAGCCCTGTCCTGGTGAAACAAACTATTTTACTAAGATTACATTTGCAATTTTTAAATCTGTGCTCTTCTTTGAGTGTTCTTGGCATATTGGATATATGCTGACTAGTGCTTTTGACCGATGCAGCCTTCTACTAGTAATGCCTGGAAGAGCACTCCTCCTTGCCCCTTCCCTCAGTGTTTGAGGACATTCTGAGAATGGGGCTGTAAAAGGTGGCGTGGCAGTGGTTGCTGCCTCAGTTCCTTCCAGCCACATGACCAGATGTGAGCATTCTTTGCATTCAAGATCCATAGGTGCCTTACTTTTTAAATAGTTAGACATTTGTAAATAGTTAATGTTAGTATTACTGTTACTTAGCTATGGTGGAGCCAAAGATCAAGAAATATAGATTTAAAAGATGTGCATCTTATCACAGTTTTCCTGGCATCAGATACTCATGCTGCATGCCTAAAATGCTTAGGAAAAGGGCACTCTCCTACTCCTTATACTATCTCTTGGTCTTTCACACTGTGAACTAGAAGGGAGAGACAGAACAGGCTCCAGGCCCTCCTTCTACTAGAAATCTTATCAGTTAAAATCTCCAGTTCTGAAATTTCTAAGACTTTTTTTCTAAATTTCTAAGGAAAATGAAAATAAGAGGCCGGCTCCAGGCTCAGATCCTGCTCTTGGGGGAATTCTGCACCACTGTACAATGCAGAATTTGCGCAGAGTTAATGTTCTGCACAGAATTTCATTTTCCCCCATATAATTGGTACTGCAGAGCTGCTGGCTACCACTGGGGTACACTGAACTTGGCAGAGCCCAACTCCCTGTCTCACAGTGCGCCTGCATGGGAGATGTGGGCAGGCTGCGGTTCCCAGGTTTGCCAGCCTTGCTTGGCCACATGGTGCAGCCAGGCTCCCGCACTATGTGACAGCTGCCAGAGCCAGCTAGCTGCACCCCATGGGGAGCTCCACGTAGGGGCTGCTGCTTTCCGAGAGGTGAGACTGAGGGTAATGGGGAGGAGGGGAGAGACACAACTTGAGTTGTTCCGGGGACGGCTGAACCTTTAAATTGTACCCCCTCAATATGACCAGATATGGCTTGTCTCTGCACGACAGTAACAAAGCTGGACGGGTTGGAGCCTGTGGCTGGGCTCTGAGGGGAGGGGTGTGGGTGTGTGGCCCCTTGGCTAGGCTCTCAGGGGGCTCGTCTGTGGGTGTCTGAGTCAGAGGGGTCCCACACAACCCCTTCCAGCACCCTTCAAATATCCCTTCCCAGTACACACACACACCCATCCAGCAGCCCCTAAATATCCCCTCCAACACTTCCAACTCGACTCACCTTGCAGTTCCCCCTCTTATATCTCCCTGGCAGTGTCCTCTATTTGGGAACTTTAAAATATGGTAACCCTATGGTGAGGAGGACACAAAACCCCAGAGAATTGGAGGAGCAGAGTTTCCCCCAAGATGTGCCTAGCGTGTGACATACCCAGACTGAGGTGCGTGACAAAAGCATAACAAAGAAACAGGAACTGGGTTGTTAGGGTTTCTTTAACTCTCTGCTCCTGGAGGAATCTTTTTTGTTGTCTGTACTATTACAGACGTACTTGGTGACAGGTATTTTGAAATTACCTTGATCGATCGGTCCTTCAGCCCTCGTACAGATTGCACCAATCACAACACGTCTTTCATTCTTCTCGTATCCTGGCCTTCCTTCTCCATGTGCGGCCATGCCTTTTCATGATAAAATCTTCCCATCTCTTTGGCGGTTGGCCGAGTGGTTGTTTCAGTTCCCATGGGTACCACTCAGTGACAGCTGCAGTCCATCGATTGTCAGTGAACCTTGCTATATGCCCGACCCATCTCATTTTATTATGCCTGCTCTCAACAACAACGTCTTGCACTTTACTCTGCTGTCTGATCACTTCTGATTCTCAGACATACATTTCAAGGCCAGAAGGGACCATCATGATCATCTAGTCTGATCTCGTGCATATTGCAGGCCACAGAACTTGACCCACCCGCTCCTGTAGTAGACCCATAACCTTTGGCTGAGTTACTGAAATCCTCAAATTATGATTTAAAGACTTCAAGTTACAGTCACTCCACCATTTACTCTAGTTTAAACATGCAAGTGACCCATCCCCCATGCTGCAGATGAAGGTGAAACCCCCCCAGGGTCTCTGCCAATCTGACCCGGGGGGAAATTCCTTCCTGACCCCAAATATGATGGTCATTTGGACCCTGAGCATTTTGGCAAGACCCAACAGACAGACACTTGGGAAAGAATTCTCTGTAGTAACTCAGAGCCCTCCCAATTTAATGTCCCATCACCAGCCATTGTGAATATTTGCTACTAGCAGTCACGAATCAGCTACATGCTGTTGTAGGCAGTTTCATCATACATAAATTTATCAAGCTCAGTCTGAAAGAAGAGTTAGGTTGTTTGCCTGCACTGCTCCCCTTGGAAGGCTGTTCCAGAACTTTACTCCTCTAATGGAGGGGAGGGGGAGAGAGAGAGAGAGACAGAGACTGTGTGAGCTGGCTGCCGGGGAAGTCTCAGAAACCAGGCGCTGTCTCTTTAAAAAAGGCACTCACTCATGGTTTAGACCTCAGACTGGAGGAGCTCCGAGTCAACCTGACCCAGGCTGTCCCCTCTCCCCTGCTCTGTGGAGATGGGGTACAGGGGGCGGGGGAGATGGACACCCTAACATCAGCCCCCCTGCTCTGTACAGCCAGCAGGAGGGTCCCGGGAGCAGCTGCAGGACAGCAACATGGCTGCAAAGCAGCGGGGGGGAGGGGCAGCTTAACACACGCTGCTGGATGTGCGCACTCTGCTAATCAACTGGGTGGCACTTGAATTTCTCCTTGGCGGCTGCCCAACCATGTAGCTTACAGGGAACAGATTCCAACCATTCTGGACTTGCTCCAAGAAGGCATGGACAGAGGCCTTCAGTCCTGTATCATTGCATGTCAAATGTCTGCTTTTAGTAGCAGGCTATTCGCAAAATCCTCATGCTCCCTGGCAGACAGTCCACAAATAGCCACATTCCTTTGAGCAGTCCAATAAGCCACACCAGCAGTCAGGCAGCTATTCCCAAAATGGGACCTTCCGCTAGTTTTGAGACTCTGACTTCAGCGTTGGCCTTTTATTTATCTATTAACACTTGTTTCTTAGTAGTTGTCATGTCTGCCAGGCGAGTGTTGGAACTGGCAACGTTATCTATACAGGAACTTTACTTTGTGTTACACAAGGATAAGGTGGAGCTAAGGCCACCAGAATCCTGTCTTCCTAAAGTAAATTCCTCTTTCCATAGTTTCCAACAGGTTGTGATTCTTCTATTCTGTCCAAAACACAACATCCAACTGAAAAGGTGTGGCACACCTTAGGTTTTCAATACTCTTCTGAGCTCTATCTCAGGCATAGAGACTCCACAAGAATATTGGGCTCCCTATTTGTGTCCTTCCACCTGAAATGCAGGGACTCAGAGCTTTCAAGTTCTCCATTGTTAGGTGGATTAGAATATGTATTGTGGAAGCCTACAGATCATCAGAGATTCCTGTCCCAGAAGGGATCAAGGCTCACTTCCTGAGTTCCTTAGCAACCTCATGGCAGAATGACCAAATGTGTCCATTTCAGAAATTTGCGGAGCAGCTGTGACGAGGTTCCCAGTGTGCAACCTGGACTGTGGGACCACTGAGCCCTCCAATCCAACCAACCTGGGTGGCCTCTGACATTGTGATGCTGATGTCAAGCTCCAGGCCTCTGATAGGCATTGCACTCACACAGACATCCACAGACACCCAACTGAGTTTCATGAATGATCTCCTAGCCACTCATAAACCATCAATAAGGAGGCTCCAGCCAGTTCCCTCCAGCTCCCCAGTCTTGCACCCCAGAACTGTACCATTTTGCACTGGTCAGAAGTCTGGCAAGTAAGTTTATTACCTAGTTCGCCGCTTTGCCAAAGGAAAGTGGACATGCACCAGCCTTTGTAACCTGAGCTGAGATTTCCCAAGCACTTTAGACAAAGTCACTGGTAAGGATAAAACATTAAAATAAATGTATTAACTACAGAAAAAATTTTAAGTGATTATAAGTGATAGGCATAAAGGTCAGAGAGTTACCTTAAGAAAATAAAAAGTAAACATATTCTAAATCCTAAACTTTTAGTCTAAGCAAGAGTTGACTCAAATAGCTTTTCTCACCCTAACAGATGGTACAAACAGGCTATAGTTCCTCAACACAAAGGCTGGGCATAACTTCCAACTTGGGATCAAACTTCCCTAGTTCAAATTTTGTCTTTCAGACGTTCTTCCAGCTGTCGAGATGTGGGGGAGAAAGGCCCATTGATGATGGCACTCTCTCTTTTTATCCCTTCTTCCAGCTACTAGAAAGATCCTTGCAGTTATGTGGGGGTCAGGCAGTTCCTATTCGTCAAGCAGTTTCCATTGTGCATGTGCCTTCTCTGGAAGCCTCTGGGATAGCGAATTGTGTGTTGATGAGCCAATAACAACTATCTGGCTATCAATCGCTACTCCTTTGTTGTAACTGAAAGGCTGGTTGTGGCTGTTCTCAACCTCACAACATATTTCAGTAACACTTCATAACTTCACATACAATGATAGTACATACTATCCAACAGATTATTATTGTTCAACAGATCAAAACTTACAAAATGATACCTCACAAGGCATACTTTGTTTATAATCATATCAGTGGTGAATAGGGGGTTTCAGGGTATGACTGATGTACAGAGTGTCACTTGGTCTACAATTTAACACCTTCATTAAACACTACAAGGTGGACCTTTTATCTTCTGCAGAGACCTCCTTTGGCAGGCAAGTGCTGCAGGCAGTGGCCAAGAAATAGACTTTTGAGAGAGCTCACAAAAAGGGGGATACTTTTTTCCTATCAGACTTTTGTTTCATAACCCTCCCTACATCTGTTCACTGCTCGCTACTTCCCAGCATTCAGAATTGTGGGAGATGCTGTGCTGTAGAACAGAAGATTTCTTATTGATAATTTTCATTCTGCTCGCAGCATCTTCCACAATTCTACCCACCCTGGATGGCTCATAACTTAAGCGTCAGATACTAAATAGAACCGTTACCATATGACTGTCTTCCTTGGTCTAATGTACATAGTTATTTCATTATCTGTGGAATATCTGCTAATGATGTTATGTAAGTTTTATAGCTTGGGAACAGTGGGAGCAGAAGAGGTGTGGCCAGAGCATATGGTGCCAAAACGCTGATCCGCTTCTGTGAGCTTCAGGGAGCAGCCCAGATGTCCAGAATTGTGGCCTGTGAATTTTTCTGTGTTGGCAGAAATTGTTAAGAAATTTTCCATTCTGTGCACCATTACAGTTGGTACTTTATGCTGTTTGCATCTTGGGGGCAGAACTGGACCTGTCAGTCACTGGCAGCAGAGGTTTGCCCCACCCTCTGAAGTTTCCGCAAGATTGTTCTGCCCTCCGACTGGCCAGTGGCTCAGCCAGACCTTGCAGCTACAGGTCTTTTCCGAGGGAAATGTCAAACTTTATTTCAGATATTTAGACTAATGGGCTAAGTAATGTGTCTGTCTAATTCCCAGCCAGGTCCAAAAGCTGTGTTTGCCTTTTGAGGAGTCTTTCCTCAGCTCTGCTTCTCCTCCTGAGACATTTGCAGCAGATGACGTTGCTTCAGGGAGTGAACTAAGCTGAGAAAAGTCAGAGGCAAAAGGAAGGGGTCTGTGTCTGTGCCCTATTTCTCCTCCCTAATCCTGCCTTCCCCTCGAGAGAAATCCCATTGAGTTGAGGGTAAGACCTCACACTGTATTAGCAGTTGATGAGCAGTCATTCTGTGCAGCTTTAGTGTTATTTTGCAATGTGGCTGCTTTCGCTGTAAGTAGGTTAACTCAAGAGGAGTTTACTGCAGTTAGCTCAAGTGAAAGCATAGCCTTAGAGGTCAGTGGGGTGTGGCAGAGTTGCAGCTTCCACAATCCATAGACCTCCCAAACCCTCCCATCATAATGGAGAGCATAGGGGAAAACGCTGGAGAGCTTCTCTCCATGGAGATTTTTCCATCACATGGGAGGTGGCAATAAGGCCTTGAAAATTCAGCAGTCAAGCATATAGTAATGTGTGTTTAACAAACCCTATTATTTTATTTCACACCTTCAATAAGCTTGAGTTCTATGGTAGGTTCTTCACTAGAGAATTTTGACTAGCTATTTAATAAAAAATGCCAATAATTCAGCGTATGGAATACAGTTTAACTCTGATATTTCTTTAAAGAACAAATGCATTGTGAAATTATTGCTGGCTTTAATTAATTTCCATTTCTCCACTCCACAGGAGCAGCTCAGCCAGAGCATATACCTGAAGGAAGTACCGTGGAATTTATTCTTACCTGGAGTCTGGAAATAAGAGCAGTTCCCAAAAAGGTTTTTATATCTTGCTTCACTATTTAAGAAAAGATCTTATAGATTTCAAGGCCAGAAGGGACCATTGTGATAATCCAGTCTTGACCATAACACAGGTTATAGAACTATCCCAAAATAATTCCTAGAGCATATCTTGTAGAAGAACATCCAGTCTTGATTTAAAAATTTCTGGTGATGGAGAATCCACCATGACCCTTGATAAATTTTTGCAGTGGTTAATTACCCTCACTGTTAAACGTTACATCTTATTTGCAGTTTGAATTTGTCTAACTCCAAATTCTAGCCATTTGATCATGTTACAGCTTTCTTTGCTAGACTGAAGAGCCCATTATCAAATATTTGTTCCCCATGTGGTTCTTGTAGACTAATCAAGTTACCCTTTAGCCTTCTCTTTGTTAAGCTAAATAGATTGAGCTCTTTGAGTCTGTCATTGTAAGTTATGTTTTATAATTCTTTAATAATTCTCTTGGCTCTAGATTGACAAAACCTGTGCAAACTGCCAGGATGCCACATTTTCATGTCCGTTTCTATTTCCACGATGCTCCTCTTCACATCTAGGCATGAAAGAAAGCAGATGCCTATATAAAGGGGAGTTCTTCTTTGAAGAGTGTCCCTGTGGTTGCTCCACTTTAGGTGAATCTGTGTCCCTGCACTTGTAATCGGAGATTTTTAGTAGTGCTTGGTTGGGTCGCTCATGCGTTGTCCCTGTCTTGCACCACCTCAGGCGGTTACATAGCGCTGTGCAACCAACCCTCCCTCAGTTCTTTCTCTACTGCCCTCAGTTTGAGATAGCAGCATCTGACAGAGGTTCCACATCACCCTGTCAGAGGAAGGAGCACTCCTCCAAAAAGGTGACAGAAATGGGGTCCGACCTCCCCTTCTCAGAAACCCATGAAAAAGAGACATTCCCCAACACGTCAGACCCCATCGGCACCGACCACACTGAGACCATCTACTTCAGGCAGCGTGACCATCCGGTACCGTGGATACCGTGTGAGCCAAAGACCCTAAGCGTCTGGCTCAGAAAAAGGCAAAAAAGGGAAACCTGCCATCCTTGCCTCGTTACTGCTGGAGCCACTCAAACATGCAGCCCCAAGCTGCTCAGCAGTACTACCGTCTGTGGCACCACTGTGATGTTCCCCTCTGGTCTTTTCTAGACCGGTGATCTGCTAGGTCACTTCAATCCTTGACTCTGGGAGCCAGCCTTACCCTGCTCTGCTGTGAGAATCCCCACACCTGAGCTGTTCATGCACAGCCTCTGGCATGTAAGCTGCTCCTTGTATTGTGCAACCGAATGACACTAGCCAATATCTCTGGTCCCAGACACAACCCTAGGAACCTCCATCTTGCAGTGTCCAGTTATGCCCGCTGGACACTGCAAGCTTATATGAGTTCATCAATTTAACAAAGAAATTGATATGCACCAGGCTTATTATCCCAAGGGGAGTCTGACATGCTTCAAACCAAACACACTGCTTCAGGTAGAATAAACAGATTTATTAACTACAAAGATAGATTTTAAGTGATTATAAATCAAAGCATAACAAGTTAGATTTGGTGAAATGAAATAAAAGCAAAATGCATTCTAAGCTGATCTTAACACTTTCAATGCCCTGACAAATTTAGATGCGTCTCACCAGTTTGGCTGGTTGCCCTTCAGCCAGGCTCTCCTCTTTGATCAGTGCTTCAGTTGCTTGGTGGTGATGTCTGTAGATGGAGGTGGAAGAGAGAGGAAGAGCATGGCAAATGTTTCTCCCTTTTATCATGTCCTTTCTTCCCTCTTGGCTTTGCCCCCTCCCACACTCCTCCAGAGTCTGGTGAGCATCTCCTCATCGCAGTCTCAAACTGACCAAAGGAAAGGGGGGTGACTCACTCCAGAGTCCAACAGATCCTTTGTTGTTGCCTAGGCCAGTGGCCTTTGTTCCTGTGAGGATGGGCTGGGTTTGTCCCATACCTGCCCTGATGAAGTGTGAACTGCCCCTCTGCTTCTGGAGAGTGTTTGCCTGGGCTTGCTTTAAGTCATGAGGGCACATTTTCAGCCTCATAACTATATACATGAAATTACAACCTATAGCATTACTACAACAGCAATGTTCAGTGCATCATGAGCCTTCCGAAGACACCCGACATGACAAACTTTGCATTAGATACCACACAATCATATTATAAGGATGAACATGGGGTGCTGGGTGTTCCCCCAAGGTACAGAACATAACAACCACCTTCTGCCTCCACAGCGTATAGCACACGACTCTTGGCATTGACAACCGCAGTAAAGGTAACCAGTGCCGCCAACACCCTCCTCCTCGGTACCGATGCTGTCAGTACCGCAGCAATTTCTATGACATAAAGAACATTTAGTCTCCTCGGCACCAGAATCTCCACTCCTAAGCACTGACCTTACTCCAGCACATTTGGTACTGTGCCAACTTACCACACCACCCAGATCAGCTCTTCCTTTATCCAGTGACGAGGATGATGATGATGATGATGAAGGGGAAATCTACTCCTCCCATCACTCCTCTCCTATCCACACAGCTGCCAGACCAAGTCCACTACTAGAACTAAATAAACACCACCCCAGACCTGAAACTCAAGGATGGAACAGATTCCCATGGATGCTGCCAGCAATGCCATTCCAACCACAGTGGGCTTATTGGGACCTGTGGGCTGGGTACTGCTGACACTATCCTAAGCCTCCCAGTTTACACACGGAGAAGTCAAGGCATTCTCCATTACCCTCCGTACCTGGACCCTCTGAACCTCTGACTCAGTGGGGAATCCAGCTGTAACACGCTGAACTGGGTTCAGACAGCAATGCAGCCAGACTAGTCGGCTGTCCTTGGGCTACTTCTTCCCCTTACCTCGAGGTGTACCTGGATCCTGGGGTCATCCTCCATCTCACTGGGATATACGGCCAATGGTATTCCCAGCAGCTACTTGGGTCTGGAGTGGCTGGAAGCTTGGGCGAGTCCTCAGGGCAGCAGAGGACTCCTCAGCATCCAACAGCGGCAGTGGGAGAGAAGTGTCTGTCTCCCTTGGCAGCTCCAGTTCAACTGAGCTGTATGGCTCGCCTCTTGTACTTCCTGTTCCACCCCTCTGCTTCCATTGGGCCGGGCATGGCTTTCCTGGCTCTGTCCACCAGGGGGTTGGTTGTGGTCCCACCAAATCATTCTCAGAGGGAGGTCATGGCTCCTTGCTATAGCACATACTTGAGGACAAAAAGGAACAATTTAAAGCTCTCATATCCAAGGGTCAGATCCTAGCTCGCACAGATTTATAAGCTTCACTAGAAGCCGCAGACACGGGGGCCTGGTCCATTGCCACAGCCATAGTAATGTGACGAGCCTCCTGGCTCCACTTCTTGGGTTTTCCAAAAGTACAACTGTCAAGGATTTCCCATTCAAAGGACCCAAGCTGTTTGCAGCCAAAAAGGAGGAGTCCCTTCCAGGGCGACTCTGAGATCCTTGGGCATATGCATGCCTACACAAAAGAACAAACAGGGGATGTATTACTCGACCCAAAGATCTAGATCCACATCCTACACCCAACCTCAGAGGCAATATGCCACGCAAAGGCGGTGACAGAGACCCGCAAGATGGAGACCACTCCCTTCTCAGTCCTCGATGTCCCAACAAATTCATGAAGACCCAGCAATTTAGGATGGTCCCTCTAACAACAATAATTCTACCCCTAGAACAAGGTTCTCAGCTCTCGACCTCCACAATGCATATTTCCACATAACGATACATCCCTCACACAGGAGGTTATTCAGATTTGTTCTGGGAACAGATAATTTCAGGTACCAAGTACTCCCTTTCAGCTCATCTGCAGCTCCACGGGTAGTCTCAAAAATCCTTGCAGTGGTGGCAACTCACCTCCACGGACAAGGGGTCATAATATTTCCCATCTGTACAATTGCTTACTCAAAGCCTCGATTTGGGAAGAGGCAGTAGAAAGTACCCGAAAGTCAGTACAGGTCTGTCTCATCTTACGCGGGGGTACTGTTCCGCGGTTAGCGCGTAAAGGGAAAACCACGTATAGCCAAAATCCCATTGAGTTCAATGGCAGGCAGAATCGCCCGCACTACGGGTATATTATTAAAATTGTTGTTTCTCTTTTTTTTTGCCGACCGAATAAAATTGAAATCGCGCATGTTAAATGCGCGTAAGATGCGACAGACCTGTAGCTCTCTTCACACAATTAGGGCTACAAATAAACTAACAAAAATCACATTCACACCTGTGCAGATACTGGAGTTCATTGGGGCCTACCTCGACTCTCTAGATGCTACAGTCTCTCTGCCCCAGCACAGATTTTTCCACTCCAGTCCACCTAATCACTATAATGCAAACCAGCCCGCAGACATCGGCCAGGACCTGCCTCCAACTGTTAGGCCATATGTCAGCAATGACATTTGTCATCAAACACTCCAGACTACACATACAATGCCTACAATGTCTCTCCTGACCACAGAAATCTCTGCACTAGTATCTCTCCATCCTTGGAGCACTTTGCCATTAAGCTTAACAGCATGCATTTGCTCATTGCTTGGTTGTGCAAAGTAACCTTTACAAATCCTGTGTAGTAAGAGGCAGCAGCCTGGGATTCCCCTGTGCTCTGAAAAGCAGCAGCTTCATGTGTTACCCGCTGCCTGTTTCTACTCAGCCAAGGACATTTATTCCTCAGTTGCTCAGTGGACTTACAATGATAGCATCTTCTGGGCTTCTCAGCTTATACAGGAGTTTTGTGACGAGTAACAGGGGAATGGGGAGGTGACAACCCAGCCTCCTTTTTCCCAGGGGCAAAATGGTGATTCTGCTTTCTACCAACCCTGTTAGCCCTCTGTCAGTGGTTTATGTTTAATTGCAGCTTGTTATTGCTCGAAAGAGTCTGCAAACCCGGCTAATTCACTGACTGCATCCACCTTTTTGTCCCACAAATATTGTTTTACGTCATCACTGCACATATTCAGGAACTGATCCTGAGTAACCACCTCA